CAATAATACAATAAATAACCCACCTTTCCTCCCTCATCCCCCCCCCCTCACCCCAACAGGCACCTCCTACATGAGCTCTCCAGATTTCCGGGCCGGCGGCATCCCTTACTTTCTGCCCAGCCTCCTCAACGCCTACACGATGTCCGGCCTGACCCACCACTTACCCGGCCACTGGGCTGCGGCAGCAGCAGCAGCAGGACACGTGCACAACGTGTCCGACCAGCACGGCTCAAAGGAGAGCACTCTGACCCCAGGTCACGCCTACTGGCCGCTGTCCAGGGCTATGTCCAGTTCTCCCTGTGGTCAACTGTCGGCTCCTGCCTCTGCTGCAGTCTCGACTCCGGAGACCCCGTTGATGATAAGATCGCCCTCGGCGAGCAAACGAGGTAGGAAGAGAGAATCTTAATGTATAATTTTAATATGTATGAAGACACGGTAGAATCAGACGCTCGTCAGTTTTTGGGCATCTGGAGTTATTGGTATCATCTTAAAACCTCTTCATTTGACCATCTTTTGATAAAAAAAATTACACGCGCATCTTGAATGGAAGTCGAGATATTTGCGATAGAAGGAGGTCAAAGCCACCTGGTTTCAGAGGTAAAATTAGCGAGGAAATGGCTGCCAAAGTTTGGTGATTTCCTAAGTTTGAGAGTTCTTGGAAATTGAAAATTTACATTTGTTGTGCCTTTAACCAATGTTTTTCAGTAAAACCCAGATAGAAATATGTTTTAAAATAGATATAAAAGGTGTTGACCAAACAAACAGAAAATGTGGAAAAAGATTGTCAAATTGGAGCAAAAATGCCGATATCTTCGATTCCATAATTTTGACAAGCGCCTGATTTCACCCCGATGCCTCACAATAATATATTATAATAACGGTTTTTAACATCATGTGCACTACTAACTGAAAGAGCTGGGGAGCTGGCTTACCATAGAAAACTGCTTCTCCCCTCTACGCTTAACGGCAACAGAGGATGAAAAAGTAAAATTAAAAGTAAGTGTATGTACCCAACTAGAGCCTGCTCTACTTTGACAACCATTTGTCCAAGACAATCACCTGCACAAATGACCATTTCCCACTCCC